AGGACTAACGGAGTGCATTTCGTATGGTTGAGGGATCAAAAAAGTGCAAAAAATTGTTAAGGGATAAAAAAATGTGCAACTCACTAAAGTTGAGGGACCAAATTTACCATTTAACCATTATTTTATACGGAGTATTACCTTTTTTTTCTTTTTTTTTTTTCTTCCCTCAAAAGCTTATGGTGTATTAAATATTTTCGTTGATTTTTTTTTATTCTTTTTCCCTTGAGTTGTAGACATTGCAAAAAATGACAAAAAAATTTGTGGAAAAGATAAAATGAAAACAAATTCTTTTGTCCTTTAATCACGGGGAGGACATGAGAAAAGGAGCCATTTGAAAATACCAAGTTGTCCTCATCATCTTAAAAGAATTGATTTAAAAATTTGTTGGTGTTCTAGCCGCTCCCTTCTCTAGCTATTGTTTTCTCCTCTTCTTTTCTTTTTTTTTTTCCTTAGTTTTTGTTGTCTTTTTTTTTTTTAATTAAGGTAGATGATTACAAATGAGAGTTTTCTCTTTTTTATGATTTTTTCCTCTTTTATAGAGTTTCCTTTTTTTTTTTTAAGGATTTTACCTTAAGTTTTTCAATACTTTTTATGGAGAGAATAGAGAAGGATGGCAACTTGAAAATAATATTAATTGTATTCATATCAATTGTTGTATTTCAGCTGTTAAAAGTATGCTTGAGGACTGATCCTAGCTAAATTATTTTTCTACCCTTACCAACTTAATGGATTATGCTTAAATGTGACTTAACTGATAAATCTCGAGTTCAGATTTAATTATGATATTTATATGGGCATTATATTATTTAATTTTGTATTTTTATGCATTTTATGAATATAATACCTTTAACATATTAGCCATTTGAATTGGTTTTATTATCTTTATGGTTCTCCTATATATTAATAAAAGTCTATTTCTCATAAATTTTTTTATTGGTGTTCAACATTGGATGGATAAAATTAACTTTGAGACTTTTGAATTATACAATGACAATCAATATTATCTCAAACCTTTGTTCATACCACTTTTATTTAAAATAGTAATATTATAATTACAATATTATATAAAATTATAATGTGTTATTAAAAAGTGTTTATAATATTATAATTAAATTTTTAAATAATAAAAATCAATTATATGACACATTAAAATTTTAATTTTATAATATTATATAATATTATAATTATATCATTTTCATATTTTTAGACTCTAATATGATAGATTTTCGTATTTCACATCTATTTTTTCAAACTTAAATTAGTCAAAGATCCTATTATTCCTCAGTCCACAACTTAAAGAGATTTTTCTTGACAACTAAACCGATTTTTTTAATAAAAAATCTATCATTTGTTCCTACTTTTGTGCTACTAATAATATGTTATGTTATGGGTAATAATAATTGGACAATTTATTTGTACTACATTTTATTAGGTCGAATTTAATTGTTTCATTTGCTTATATATAATTATTGAAAATTTATTT